CTACAGTGTTTCTAAACACACAGAATTGTACAATTTAATTTTGCAGGGGGGAGGTGACTTTCTTCTCCACTCTCTCCTGAGTCCTACTGGCTACCTCAGTATACAGCAGAGGCCCAGCATGTCTCAAGTGAGGCAATCGTAGACTAGGGCAGACATGGCTTGTTCCCAAAGCCTGCAAGGAATCAGTCAGGTAAAACCAGCACTTTGACAAAGTCTTTCTTGACTCCCAGGCCTATTATCATCTTTTGCCCTTGGCAGGTTAATAGCAAAAAGTTGCCTGTTGAAGCCTAAGGCCCAGCCCTTCTTTTCTAGAAACAAAACACAGTAACACTCTGGGCTTTTGCTTAAAGTTCACAAATAGAAACTGAGAGGCAAAGATTTTAACTCATTTGATAGAGCTGGGCACTCAATCTTCACGGCCTGCATCTCTGAACGTTTAGTGTCTCCAAGAAATAAATCCAGAATGTTGACTAATCCTTGAGTTTTAAAAACATGTCATAAAGTCCTCCATTAACTTTATTTTATAAGGGAAAAATGCTGGGTTTGTTTCAGTTACCTGCAGCAATCAAAAAGCTTTGGCACCTTCTTTTAGAGAATTGCACAAAACAGGATGCATCAAAGTGGAGGGCAAACGTCTTTTTGGCAACCTAGGTAAAGAAGACAACAAAAACACCACCAAGTCCATTTGCAAAGAGCTAATGCTTACAAGGTTAACATAATTCTTTAGGGAGTTGTGTAAAAAGCATAATATCCCCCCATGCCTTTTGAGCTGTCTTTACTGTACTCTTCAGCATTAATGTCCTCACACTTTATGGAGGGAGAATTTTCATTACTGGAGGTGCTAGGAGACAGCCGCCTTCGCTTGCAAGCACTGGTGTATACCCCTGAATCATTGGAATCTAGAGACTTGATGGAAGGGGGTGTTTCTATCCAAGAAGAGCCGATTTCCTCTTTGACTTTCTCCTTGGAGAGTTGATCTTCAGAGAACACCGGAGGGCTGGTTCTAGAGGTCCATGGTAGTCCAGCTGCCATCTTCCTCTGATAAGAACCTCGACCTCCCCACCCTGCCATTGCAGGGAAGGTTGCATCAGGGTAATAGCTCAGGGCATGGGGTGTCTGGAGGGGCAAGGATTTAATACCATATGGGAGCAAGGTACTAGAAGTATATTCGGATTCATAGGAACTGATGTCTAGTTTGTTGGCCCCTGGTTGCTGGACGGGCGTGACAAGCCACCTCTGGGGAGGGTTGGCCACCTCTTCGCTCTGTTGGGGTGAAAGGAGGCCGTTCGTCTGTGGCACGGTTCTCTCACCATTATAATATCGGGCTTGAGGTAAAGTGTTCACAAAGGGCTCCGGGAAGAAGGACTGGACGCCATACCGACCTCCAGGGACAATCTGATGGGATCTAGGAGAATCCGTGGGAGATGGAGTTAACCTGTCATTTTCTGAAGCGGTGTACATGCTACAATATAAAGAGAAACACTTAAAAAAAAAAAACCCCTAACGTTGTCCCCAAACAAACCGCCTCCCAGAAATGCAAAGGGCTTACACAGTTGGGTGTCTGTATGGAGAACGCTGGTGAACAGGAGCAAAGTGGCAGAAGATACTGTGGCCAATTTTGGCTAGATTCTTGGCTTATTGGGAACAATTTCTCTCCACATAAGAAAAAGGTACCTCCAAGGCACTAGGTATTTGAACTTTTGAAAATCTACCTTTGTAAGACCTCAAACATGAAAAACTCAGAGCAACCCTTCCTTGTCAATGTGATAGAAGGAATGCTGGCTGTGGTACTAGAAAATTAAGATTCTAAAGTAAGGTATCTCTATTGGGTGTTATGAAAAGTATATCCTCTGGCCCTGGGGATTTGGCTCAGCGGCCTAAGTCCCTGTCTGGCAAACACTAGGTCGCTAGTTAGATCTCTGGTACCAAAAAAAAAAAAAAAAAAAAAAAAAAAAAATCCTCCATTTTCAGGCTTTCTTATGTAAAAAAGGGGGCAGGGAAGTGATAGTACCTGTTTTTGTGAGGATAAAATGTCGGATCAAATGAGAAAGGAAGCTATATGAATAGATTCTTAAAATTTCAAAACTTCAGCATGCTTGCAGTCCCAACATTGAGCTGCTAAGGCAGGAGGACGGCAAATTGGAGCCCAGTCTGAGCAACTCCCTGATTTAGGGAGACCTTGTCTCTAAAAATGCTGGGATGTAACTCAGTGTGGAGGCCAGGAGTTCAATCCCCAATAACACCAAATAAATAAGTAAACATTCAAATCCCTAATTTGAAAACATTATTCAAGTTTAAGACTTTAATTTTGGGGGGATTAAAAAAATTCTGTGAAAATTCTAAAGCAAAAATAAAAATGGAGAAAACTCCCAAACATTGAAAGCTGACTGTAAAGTATTTCCTCAGCAAAATGATGATGTGTGCCTTGCTTAAAGATGACCAAGCAGGTGTGAACAAAGGTTGCACTTACGAATCATAGTTGTCCCTGAAGCCCTTTGCAAACGGGTTATGATCAATCTTCAGCTGAGTAATCTGAAAAGGGGAGAGAAGGAGCTGTTGACTGAATGCTTCCTCACACTAGACCTGGCCTGAGGGCTGGCTGGGGATGGGGGCCACTCACATCTGTGTTTTGGTAGGCAGTCACTGCGATGAACTGTGTTTCCGAGAAGGTAAAAGTCTGGGTCTTTGAGGGCTCATTCAAGTCTTCCACGCCATCCTCTGTCACTTCAACAATGTGCAGTCGAGGTTGGTATTTGTGTAAAGACTGTAAGACTATCATCTGAAAATGAAAAAAGTCGCTGTGTCTAATAAGTTCCTTAGAGGCTCCACAAGTAGATTTTAACAAATAGTACATTTGGAGATGGGACTCCTGCTTGTTCCCCATCAATAGTTTTCTTTATTTGTTGTTTAAATATTCATTTCTATAATCTTAGCATTGCTTCTCTTGAAACTCAAAATATAGCTTCATCTTTATGATAAACACTCTTTCCTTTTGGTTCCTAAAGCCCTAAAAAGATTTCAGTATTTCTGTTCCTAACTCAGTGCAATTGAAATCCAGTAAGAAAATAAAAATAAGAAAAGTTCAAAAACAAGATTAGAACTAGGTGAGCAAACAGGTAACAAGTATAAATATAAATACAGTACAGCATTGACTCTCCTTGGAAGAGACACCAGTAGCCAGAAGACACCCCCTCTTCCTCTGTCACTCTACCTGGGTGTTGTTGTTATTTGCGCCTTTGTTATTGGTGAGTTTTAATTTCCCAAAGGAAATCTCCTGTCTCATCCAATGGGAACCAGTATTAGGAGACTCTGGGTGGACATACATTTTGTTGCCTAAGAGAAAAAACGAAACAAAACACAAAACCCAAACATATAAGGCTGTCTAGAGATGGAGGAAGGGGAGGGATAAAAGAGCTACATTTACAGCATAATTTCCCTGGGCCAGGGATCAGCAGGACTCTATTGGTACCCTGACCAGCCCTCCCTAGTCAAGGCACTCATCAGAATGATCTAAAAATAGCCAACAGGAGATGGACCTGGAAGGCACCTGAGACCTTAGCTGAGTGAGGTTTTCCCGAGGGAACACTAGAATGCCAGGAGTTCTACCCACCCAGAGGCTTCTCAAACTAGTAAGTTTCTCAAATGGAGGAGCTGGGGTTGGGGTAGGGCCACAGTCAAAGGCTTTATATACATGTATAACAATAGGCAAGGAATATGGCTTCGTGATTCTCAGTCAACACAAACTCAAAGTAACGCCTCTAGATCCCGCTTAAAAAAGGGTTGGGGGAGGAGGGAGATCTACGTTTAAATAGCAGTTGTCTAAGGCCTGGGTGCAGATTTCTTCCCAGCCCTGTTCTTTTTCTCCTCACCCTGCATATTATTGTCGGCTTTGCCGCAGGTCACCCACTTGCCCCCCTGGAAGCGCCAGTGGTTTGGGTCGGCCAGAACCACCTCTACGAACACGTTGTAGTGGGCGGTGGGATTGAGTCCGTTTATGTTGAAGCTCAAGAAAGGAAACATGCGCCTGTGCAAGGGAACAGAAGCAGGTAAGTCATTTACATCGGGATGCTTGCAAACGCACCCGGACTCGCCGAGGTCCCCGGGCACCCGGGATACCGTGAAAGCTGGACACGCACAGGTCTATAGTGAACAGAAAACCGGTGAAGTGGCCAGGAACTATGAAAATATTTTTCAATTGGCAATTCTCAGATAATTTTCCTCCTTCCGAGGGAGTACTTATGTCCTTAATGCACGTGCTTCTGAGATCTCTAATTCAACTTCGCGGCACTTATTAAACTTCCTCTCAGGATGCTCACAATTAGGAATTTTTAAACATTTAAAAGCACAAATGCCCAAGAACATTGCGCACGCGCGCATGTAGTCTACGGATAAGGGTATATATTATTCAGCTTTAGTCTAAAAGTCTCCTTTAGGTACCCCTCTCCCAGCACCCATTTTCACTTTTCTCTCTTTCAAAAAAGAGAGAAACAACAACAAAAATCAAAAACAAAAAAAGCCACAGTTAGCAGTTGGATAAGTGTCAGAACTTCCTTGCACTCTGAACCCGAGTCTGGTCTGGCTTTAGGTCCTGCCTAAGCACCATCCATCCCGGGCCAGCACTGCAGCCTCGCAGGCGCCCTGCGGAGACCCTGGCGCCGGGAGCTCCAGGAGCCCATTCACCGCGTCCGGCAGCAGCGACCTTCCCCACCCGCCGCTCCTCGAGCGCGGGTGCGCACCAGCCTATCTTCAGCACATCCACTGGGAGCAGGCGGATCCCGTGAAGCCTGCTTTGTATACGAGCCCAAATTTCCATTTCCGCCTCCTCCTTGTCAGTCCAGGTGTGGATGACGAGGGCGGAGGGGAGAGCGCAGTCTAAGCCGCCGGTGTGCGGGCCGAGGGTAACACTGTATTGGCGAACTGGTGTCTGCCTTATTGCGCGCTAAAAAATAACCACTTCAAGCAGAGCGAAGAACGAATGGGCACAGCTCCCGCATCCCCAGCCTCCCTCAGGATCACACATTCTGCTTTGATCCCCTCACCCAGGGACCCCTCCAGGCTTCTCTCACCTGCCCTGCTTCGTAATGATCATCTCAGTTTGGTGACGGTGGAATTTGAGCCACAGAGGCCGGTTGCACAGGTAGACGTGGGCGCGGAAGCCGGATCCGGGAACCCCCATGCCCCCCAGTCCTCCGCAAGATCCAGCCGCTGCGGTTCCGGGGTACGGCCCGTACAGCGGAGGCCCCTGGCTGTACTGATAGGCGCCGGGGCCGCCGCCCCCACCCCCGCTGCCTCCCGCACTACCGGGCGCGCCGGATCCTGGGCCAAACTGCGCCCTCCCGGGTGGGCACACGGCTGCGGGGAATCCACCGGGGGGCAGCATGGAGCCGTAGGGGTAACGCGCACCATTGGGAGCCGGGTACACAGATCCGTGGGGCGCCCCGGCTGCTGCCTGGTACGGGAAGAGCGAGCAGGGCGCAGCCAGCTCCGAGCCCTGGGGCCCGGGCGACTGGAGGTAGTAGCGCTCGGAGCTCAGGCTGTCCATGGAGTAGCGCGCGGTGGCGGCGGCGGCGGCGGCGGCGGCGGCGGCAGCAGCAGAGGGCAGCTCCTCCTCCCCGCAGGGGGAGCCCTTGCGGCCGTCCGGGGGCCCTGGCTTGGCCACCGCCGCGGCGCTGGCGAAGGTGTCCCCGGCGTCGGCGTCACTGAGCATGGCCGGAGGGGCCCCCGCTCCAGCTGCTGTGGGCTCCCCGTTCCCCGCCTCGCACGAGAGACTGCCCGAGAACTTCTTGGGCGCTTTGTCTAAGTCCAGCCTCTGCGGCGAGGGGTCAGCGCCTGGGAGATGGGTGGCACTCCCGCCGCCGCCGCCCCGCGCACTCTCCAGCGGATAGAAGTGCGCCCCGGGCAGGTTCACAGAGCTCACCAAGAGTTGTTCCCCTAACTGCATGCTTTGCAAAGCTCAGACGACAGCTGGCTGCTTCCTCTCCTCCTGTGGCCTTCTTATTATAAAGGCAGGATGGGGGAGCCAGCGCCCTCTTCCGAGGGGAAGGTAACTTCCCCTTCCTCCCGCGCTCAGGCTACCCACCTGCGGACTCGCGGGCAGCCACAGCGCGCACTCGCGCACCCTGAAGCCAGCGTCCTTTCGCAAGGAAAGCGCGCTGAGTTTTTTAGGCAGGAAGTGGAAACTGACCGAGAAACATTGTTCCTTTCCTTCTCCGTCTCTCTTGTATGTCTGGACTCCCACACTCACAACCAGGAAAAAGAGGATTTAAGCTTCTTGTTCCCATCCACCCACCAGCCCGCACCTTGCTGTCCTATACCTATCGGCAAACCATCCGTCTAGTTGAACGCTTAGAAACTGGAGGGCTGTCACTGGCTGCTTTATATACGTGCGGCCAGGGAGTGGTTTAAAGTCCCACAGCTCGGGGGCCCTCCTATTGGCTGATGGAGGTGACGATAATCAATTAGGCATTTACTAATTGGATCAAGTCGCCTGCTACACTTTCTTTAGCTTGTTTTTCTTTCTTTTTTAAAAAAAGACTGTCCCGTTGTGCGAATCAATCTTGGGGTTTAGGTGTACAGGACTCCATAGCGGGGACCCCCTTGGCACGAGACATCCCAGCGCTCTCCGTGGGCAATGTAGGAGCAGGTATTAGAGGACCAGGGAAAAAGTCTCTGCTTGCTAACTGCTTGCAGGGAGGCGCGTGTCCAGAAGGTTGTAGAAATGAGGTGAGTTGGAGGCTCCAGAATAAATCTTTCCTGCCAGACTTCAAACGGACCATCTTCCTTATGGAAGACTCCTATGTCTTCGACATACAGGAAACTCTTTTTATTGGGTCTCATCTTTTTATTCAGTGGGAAGGGTTTGTGGAGAGAAGTCTCGCTCTCAGCATTGGTGATTCCCGGGACTGAACGCATGTTACCATCCTGGTGGACCTAAGCTCTCAGCCTCTGAATCGGAAGCCCCAGTAGGGTGGGGTCCCGGAAACCCAGCCAGTTACCCTCATCCCCTCGCCTCATCCCCTCGCCAGCCACCCTGCTTTTGGAGGCCATCTCTTTTATTACACACAATTTAAAATCCACGCTACTCAAGTTTTCTTCCTACATCCCCTACCCCGCCTCCAAAACCGTCTTCTGAGGAGCCTGACACCAAGAGACAAAGGTTCCCTGGCAGCCGCGCGGCTGAGAGTCCCCAAGCTTTTCCTCCGGCACAACCCAGAAGGTAGAATAATTAGTGAAATAATCAGTTTGATATTGAATTAAGCTCCTTTGCCCCAGCTGCCTGCTTCTTCTGCGTTTCCGCAAACAGTCAAGAACCGCGCGGTCCTCTTTTATTGTTTTATTATTACAGAAGTGGTGGGGGGCGTGTTTCCTTGCGGTTGAGGAGTAGCCTGAATATTTGCTGTTACTAAGCAAATACGGACGCCGCCAGTAACCGCTCCGGGAGCGCATTTTCCGGCTGAGATGTCAGGACTCTGCTTTCCCAACCGAACGCGATCACACGGGAAACTTTTTGCTTACAACAGATGAGGTGGCCTTAGGATCTGCGGAGCGCTCACTCGCCAAAACAAGGCGAAGCTTTCCAACCCGGGTTCAAAGCGCAGCAGCACCGACTGCTCACTCGGCAGGGTGTGGGTTGGAGAGTGCAGCTGCGTCAGTGCACTGGGACGCTGCACGGCGTTTATCTCCGTGTTTTTGGGGTGATAATGAAAACCATAGGCACGCAGGAAGGTTTTCAGGGGCAAGGCACAATCTGAGGTGAAAGGGGCAAGTTAAGTGTGGGCCGGGAGACGGTCGTGTAAGTGTTAGGCCGGGCACACCAGAACCAGACCCCAGGAAAGCTGGCACCACGCGAGCTCAGCCTTGCGCTCCTGCGTTTCGTCCCAACGGTTTAGTGAATGTATCTTTGGCGAGGCTATCTGTTCAGATCATTTGACTATGCACTCCGATCTCCCTCGCTTTTGGTTTTATTTTGACCCAGGCAAGTTCTGGGAACTGATTTTTCAGATACTGTAGCGCTTTTTGTACACTTAATGATTTTCACCGTGGAGATTCCGTGATGGCACAGGAGCGGAGCGCAAGGAGTGGAAGGGGATGCGCGGCGTTGGCGACGTCGCCATGGGCTAGTGAATATGGTTACAAGTCATAGACTCTTTTGCATTAGCTTGGACCTGAGCTTGGGGTGTTTGAGGGGGAAACTAGGTGTGAGACACCGTCTCACGTACTTTGGAAATGGAGTGGCCGAGGGTACTGGGCAGTTTTGCACTTTAACGCAGACAGAAGCACACCTCGGTGTCCCTTCAAATCTTTAAGCGACCAGGGAAACGCTGCGCAAATGGCAAAGTGCCATCGCAGGCAACAGGCATCGTTCCGACCCACTCTGGCGCAAATAACGCGGGCCAGCTGTCCCGAGCCACATCAGGAAGGGTTGATTCCATTCCATCCCTAGAGCAAGCCCGTGAAAGCTCCTGGGTTCATTCGAGTGCCACCGAATTATTAAATATATGCATGATGTGTATGATCCGGAATGTACTGATTCTTAGGGCAGGGAATCGCAGTTTATGTTTGCCATATTCCCAGAAGTCTATTATTTTACCCAGTGCCTGAAACATTTTATAAATGGGGCAGCAAAGACAATTTTGAAGACTCAAATAGTTGCAACAAAACAATCTTGAGGTCTAGAATTTTTAGAAAGTGGAGGTTATGTAAGAGTATTATATTACATCTATAAATATGTATTCTACAAGTTCCTCATTAAAACACTGTTTCTGCTGCTTTTTCCTGGCTGTAAAGAGGCCCAAACTCACTTACTGATTCTATATTAACTACTTATTATTCTTACTATTATCATCATCATCAGTATTATTGCATATGGTACATACCTAGAGAGTTACAGACGAGCAAATGAGTGATTATCAGTGTGGAACTGCTGGTCCAGTTATACTTGTAATTAGAGAAGAGGCATAAACATGTCACAGACACACTTCAAAATTCAAACCTTCTTTTCCAAAAATGGCAACAGAAATGAAAGCTGAAGCAGAGGCATCAGCAAATTTGTCTGGTAGTGCCCTAAATTAAACTGGGCAAACAACAGAAACTTGCAGGCCACTTGCTGTTTGATTTCAGTTACACCCCAAGGTTCATGAAATCCAAATGAGACATTTATTGAAGAGTGCCTGGTTTTATGTGGCTCGACTGACAGTGCTGGAATACGTGGAACAAAAACATCAACACTGGAGAGGAAATGTGGAGACCTTGGAACCCCGCACTCCAGTGATGGCTGGATTAACTCCAATCTTTACTTTTTGGCCTGGGATGGAACAAGCAGGAAAGTCTGAGGGCCACAAGGAGGCCAAGGCCAAGGCTGTGTGTGGGCATTATCAGAAGTCTCATGTTTCATTGTCCTCAGCAGTAACAGTGACTTCATGCCCCTGGCCCCTTCTGATAACATAAGGTTATAACCACAACCAGGTAGCCTTTTCCTTTCTCCCCATGCAATGCGTGGATCTTGTAAAAGCACAACTGAGAAGCATTTGGTTTTAACAAGACTATTATGCACTGAATCCATACACACGTGTATGAATAAATTACAGAGGTGAGTTACAGATGAGTGCAGTGACATATGATTTGCCTCCCATCCAGCCTGCTTCAACTCCCACACAGGCAAGGGGGCCCGTATAAATGTCCCAATAAATTCTATTATTTTCACCCCCACTAAAAACGTGTTATCAAAACACTGTCCATGTTATTCAAACACTTTGTAAACTCTGAACAGACTTGCTGCCAGCTCTGCTTTAACCCTAGGAAAACATTCCAACATAAACCGGTCACCAGCGCTTCGCCTGGACTCTGGGAAAACGTCAATGGGTTTTTCTGTGGCAAGTTGGTCGTTTTACTATTTATCTATGGCCCTTTCTTTGTTGATGTTATGTTTTATTTCACCATCTCAGGTTCACTCTTTGGCCCTTTGTGCTGGGATGGCCAGGTCTGCTGCCTTGGTCTGCTTTGTAGAGGAAGGGAACGTTTATCATGGCAAGGTTGTTCATGTTTCTTTCTTTTTAAAGAAAATCTCAGGTAGGATAAAACATTTTGGAAAGGATAAATGGTTTTGAGTCTGCTGACATGAGCCAGATCTCACCAACAGAATTTCCATGTTATGAGAATTTATAAAACTGAAATTTCACTGTGACACACTGAACCAGGCTGATCACTTACTTAAAAAGTAAAAATCATCAGACCTCACAAATGTGAGAGACAAAGGATTGTCCCAGACTCACTGTATTTTTCCACATGAAATTGACCTATTTAAGTTATTATTTTATTTATATAGTTATTGATCTATATAAAGTGTTGTTCACTGCTGAAGTATGAAGGGAGGGGAAATCCTGAAATCAAAGTTAATAAATTAAAAAAAATGTTAATAAGTATATTAAACATTGCTCATTACCAAAGATAAACTTTTTTTCTAAATATTAACTCAAGAAACTTTGACAGCAGCCCACAATCTTGATTTAATTTTTAATTAAAATTTTATTTTTTTAAATTACAAGTGAATTTCTAACTTTTGTTGCTGTTTATCATCATTCTTTTCATATTTTAGGAGATACATATATACACATAAAAAAGTCAAATGAGGCAAAAAAAGGTCAAATGCCCTCAAAAAGTGTATTATGAGACTATTTGGTTAATTATTACTGCATTAAGGTATTAAGTCATATAGGCTTTGCTTACTTTTTCACCTTTGACCCATCCAGTACTTAGTAGGTACTCTGGGTTACTTAATCTGTGTGCCTCAGCACCTAACACAGTCCCAAACAATGTTAGATTTTAAGCTTTAAGACTATCAAGGGTAAAGGGAAAAAGCTTTCTTCTTACACACACACACACACACACACACACACACACACACACACACCCTCCTAAGTGAATAGACCTTCCATTTTAATCTTTTTAAACAGTAAGAGTTATTTTTCATCCTTTTTTAGACCTTCCCCACCCCAAAGACCACACATTTTGCATGACTGTTTTTGTGTGTATATTTCAATGCTCATATTTTTCCACAGGAAAGTAGAAAAGAAAGGCAGTGCCATGCCTGCCGCAGGACTGCGAAGAGGAGCAAGGGGCCTGGCTCCAAAAGGAAACAACGCCCTCAGTGTAAATCAGCTGCTCATCCCTAGCAGAGCTGGCGGAGATTAAAGTTTCTGACAGTGATACACACAGGTGTGCAGGACGTGGACACAACAGGTGGGCAGAGTCCAGTCCTGAGAACCAAGGCTTCAGGGCGCCAGGAGCAGCTGCAATCTTTACCCAGGCCCTAAGTGAGAAATGAGAGAGAAAGTCTGCATTGGCGCAGAAACTTGGCAGAGATAACTACAGACGAGAACGGACAGCAGGACAGAAAAACCAGAGAGCAAACTCCTAAAATCCTCCTCTGTAGATTCTTAAGAGAAGAGCAGAATGTTGGACCCAGAATTGTATGTATATGTGGGTCTTCCTTTTACTCACTTCGAGATCTCAGCAAGCTCCTTACGTGCCTCAGTTTCCCTATCTGTAATAATAGCACACGTACTATAAATAAAGCAAGTAGACTAGCAGCCTTCCCAGGAAAGTCTGCAGTCCGTCCTGTTACTAACCATTATACTGACACTGAGCTCACTTTTTTCTTTTTTTGCCTTTCTTGCTAAGATACTGGGGCTAAAAGAGGACAAGTATATCTTAATCTTTTCCTCGCAGGGAATCCCAGTCTCCTGGAGCAGGCCAGTAGCAAACAGGTCAAAGGCAACGTGAAGCAGACGTAGGAAGCAGGAGTAAGTCAGAAACAGAGCGGAAGTCCTCGATGCTGTATCAGTCCCCTGCTCTGTCCTCACAGGATAGAGTGGCCTCCAGGACAGCCGCGCTGCAGAGGCGCACTTCAAAGGCAGGCAGCAGGAGCTCCCTAACCCCAGCGTGCCTTCCGCCCCCTCGGGCCCTCATTAGCATTCTGTTTTTCCCAGGGTCTCCCCCACACCTGCTACCCCACAGGGATTACTTGTCAAAGAAAGAAAATAGGGTGTTTAGCTCAAGTTTTGTTCCCCACCCACTTGGTTAAATGCCCGACCCCGAGGGAGTTCGGGAGTAGCTGGAAGCCTGCGGAGGGGTCTTGCTCCAGAAGGTAACAAGTATAGAAAAGTCATCATCTGGGCCACCTCGCTGTGGGTCTCTGCCGACCTCAGTGGTGGCTTCTGCAAACTGGGAGCACCAGAGAGGGTCGCGTGGTGAGGACTCCGGAGGAGGCCTCCCTGCTCAGCTGGCCTGGGCGGTCTGACCACGGGGCAGGTCCTGGGGAGAGGCAGGCAACCACCTCCCCCGACCAGTTCTGAGGGATCTACAGGGAAACAGTAGCTAGACAGCAAGGAGCACTTCGATGCGGTCTTCATCCATCTGCAGCCGACTTTTCAAGATGGGAGGCCGCTCTCAAAGCCACAAGAGGAAAACACAACCAGATGCTGACCATAGGCTAGGCCCTCTTCTTCGCTTGTAGGGAAGCAGATTTAAAATCAGATCGCTGGGGCCAGGGAGGTTGCTCAGTGGTGCAGTGCCTGCCTGGCAAGTAGGAGGCCCTGAGTTCGATCAGCAGTACAAAATAAAAAAATCATTTCCATAAAAACCTTATCCCATTGCACAGAAGAATAAGATGATGGTTTGAGAATCGAAGACCCAGTGCACACAACTAAATATAGCAGTTGGAATTCGAATCCAGGAAGTTTGAAGGTCGGGGGCCCAGGGGCGGGGTTAAGTATGCGCGAAGATACAGCGGTGTGAGTCTGTGTGTGTGTGTGTATATGGTGTGTTTGGGGGGGCGAACGGTGGAATAGGGGACCTGTGTGCCTTCTCTGGAAGCTAATGGTCCAGTACCTATAATTTAGAACGAGTCTCTATTTAAGCCCTCATTACTACCTCTCGAACGTACGTGTTTTCATCAACGTTGAGAAGAAAACCCATTTTACAGATAAGAAAACCGAGGCTGCGTGAGATACATTAGTTTGCCCGAGGATACACAATTTGTGAGTGGCAAATCAAGGCAGACCCGGAAGCATAAACTGCTGTCTCCCAAGCTGCCAGCATTAACCGAGGGGCGATCTGCTGAGGGAGCCGCAGGGAAGATACAGCCGGTTCCCCGCGCTGCTCCCACACCAGCTCTCGGCGGTTTCCTTTCCCCCTCCTAGTCCAGGCCAGAGGTCGCGGCGGCCCCGCCCCACCGCCCCCACCCACTGGCGCGCTCCTGGGCTGGGGGTTTGGAGAGGCTGAGGTTGCTTCTGGCCTCGGAGCGGATGCTCGCAGCCTTTGAATTGCGCACGGGCGACCCAGCGAGCAGGCTCCTGCCGGCTGCCCCTGGTCTGCCGGTGATGTGTCTGCGGTGGCCCTGATCCCGCGTCAGACAGATCTGGGGCGATCTTTCCAGGTTCTAGGTCCCGAGCGGGCGGCGACCTCTCCCGCCGCCACGCACAGCCGCCTCCGCCCACGCGGGTGCGCGCGGGCCGCGCAGGGTCTGGACGCTCGAGGCTGCACTCCAGGCGCAGTCCCGGTGCGCAGGACCCGGGCAAGTGTCGCCGCCGCGCTCCTGCGCCCGGGGTGATGTAGAGGTGAAGTCGAACCCCTGTTTTCTGGCCGCTGACACACGTAAAGGCCCACTTAATTATTTCAGGCTGTTTGGAGTGAAAAGTTAGTAAAGAGCATCCCACATACTTCCTCTTTCTCCCTTTTTGCCTTTTTACCCCACGAGCCACCTTTTCTGTACCTTAGGTCAGCCTCCTGGGCAGCGACTAATTTGGCGCCTTTAACTCCACGCCTACTAGAGAATGTATCATAACAATACATTTTGTGTAGGAATACATTCTACCATGTAAAATCAATAGATGCTTTAAAACATACTTGTGAGATTTTTTTTAAAAAGCCACTGGTTTACAACGTCTCACGCCTCCTAATCCTCTGACCTGAAAGGCGAACAAGATTAGCGTCTTTCTGGGGCTATCGTTTTACATGTTTGCACCAAAAAATACGTATTCACATCTGAACTGCTTATCTGGAAGCTTTTTATACATTATTCAACATCTTGATTTTATTTTTCACTTAAAATACATCTTGCAGTCAATTCCCGGCGATGTCAGAGATTTTGCTACCTCAGCACGTCCTGGGAACACCGCTGGCGGGAAATGCTTCTTAAATTTTGTACCGGTTTGGTGCTTTGGGGCTTTCCTGGCGGCTGCGGTGCCAACGCCAGCCCGCGGAAGCGCGCCGCCCTGGAGAGGGCTGCACCGGGCCGGCTCGGCTCCGCCTGGCTCGTGCGCTCCCAACTCCTCCAGGCCTCGGCCGGGCGTTTCTCTTGCTCTGAGACTCCCCACTGTTTGTACTTTGAGACCCCAGAAGCAGGTAAACAAGCTCTGCGATTCTGCCCTGTGCTCCAACGGCTAGGGGGCGGGGAGCGATCCGCCAGACAGTTCCAAGCAGCCTTAAGTCAGATCAAAGCGGAGGACCGAGCGGCGACCGTCGGCCCCATTAACAACTGCTTGGCCTGCTGGCTGCTGGGGGTGGGGAAGGAGTTGGCCAGATGCGGACCAGAAAGCGCGAGCTGCCAAAGGTCCAAAGAGTGACCGGATCACATCCCCCATCCCCTTCCCTTCCTCAACCCCAACCCCCACTACTGGGGATGAGCAGGGCCTTGGAACCCAGCCACGTCCCCAGGCTTTTCTCTTCTTTTTTCTCCTTTCTCCATTTCTTTCTCCTTTCCTTTCCTTTTTTTCTTTTATTTGCTTTTCATTCATTCATTCATTCATTCTCGATATCTTCCAAGTTTCTAAATTGCCTCTGCTGAGCTCAGATTTGCCATCCTTCTGCCTCAGCCTCCGAAGTGCTAAGATTACAAGAAGAACTACAGCCCCAGCGTCACAATGGCGAATCTCGAAGATGCTGCAGCACATGCTTGGAGTCACACAGGAAGGCTCAGTTCACTAAACACTATCAAATACAGGTTGATTAGAAAATGTGTCTGGCAGTGTCCCGGGTGCTGGTGCAGACCTGGATGGTGCAGGGAGCTGGTGGTAGGTACAGATCACAAGTGAGCTATAATCAGAATAATGCAGTGGCTTCAAATTTCTTCTGAACATTAGAATATAATCTGCGGAGTTCTTAAAACTTCTGATGCCTAGGTACATTGTTTAACCCAGAACGGTTAAACAAGAATTTCTTGCAGCGAGACACGTATTTCTTTTTACATTTTTTTTATTAAATAGTTAAGATAGTTATACTACTGATTTCTCTGAGTTTGCTGAAGAGAAGGGTTTGTGCTGACACTGGACAATTGAAGGCAGATGTCCTGTGCTCTGGGTGAATGATCTGCCTACTCCCAGGGAGGCTGTAAACATCACTGAATGTGATTGAATTTAAAATGATCAATTTGTATTTAATTTTTTTAAATGATCAACGTTTTAACATAATTTGAAAATGAAAGAGTGCATGGGAATGTTTTAAAAGTAGAATGCGCCATGTATGTACGTACCACTGTTGTCCCCTGATTGACATGTCTTGAAATTTTGTTGTAGTTTTTTCTTCTTTTTTTTCTTTCTTTTTATCCTTGAAATAAAATGGATGTGGGAACAACTTTTTATTAGTACCTGTTTGTAGTACACAGTGATGACACTCCTCATGGAGAGTTGCTGCGTGTACATGGCACATTTTAATTCTTCTTACTACCCGCTCCCACTTTTTCCTCTCCTCCCACTCCTTTCTTCTATTTCCCCCTCCTCTCTATCCTCTCAATCCTAGTGATTCCAATGGGCAGCAAAGTTGGAGAATCATCGTGCTTTTGATTTGGGGGTTGGTGGAGTTTTTTTCTCAGTAACTGAGATTTGAATTGGGCCAGCAGGGCCAGCAGCCAGGAGATGGCCTGTGGGACACTGTAGGCTGAGGCCTGCTGTCCTCCGGAAATGGCAGTAAAGGGGATCTTGGGGGGGGGGGAGGATGTGAGGTCTGGTCACTGCTCTGCCCCTCTGGAAAGGCTGTCCATTGCTCCTCCTAGGGAGTCTGTAAAGGTCCTTGAATGTGATCTAATTTAAAATGATCAATTGTTATTTTTTAAAAATGATCAATTTTTAAACATTATTTTTTAAACAAAATTTTTAAATCAAATAGTGCATGGGAATGTTTTAAAAGTAGAATAGCGCTAGAAAATGCTTAACAGCAATTTCATAACATCTTTCATGAGGCCTTATCATCAACTCTAAAATACTATTACTCTGAACCATCATCTATCATGAAGATTAAAAAGTCACCTCTTGAACTTCAATTTTATGCCTTTTTTAAAGAATTCTGCTTATTGGGCTAGAGGTTTAAGTCAGCAGCAGGAGCGCCTGCCTGGCAAGTGCAAGGTTGTGAGTTCAAACTCTGGTACCAAAAAAAAAAGACTTATTTAGACCAAGTTGTTATTTTTCACATTGAATTGTGAGATACATAGAAAGGAAAGTGTATACTGTCTACAGAGGCATGAGCGCTATGTCCTACTGCCACTTGAGCAACAGGGACTGTAAGACACCATTAATAATAGAATGCACTTGGATTCACTCCTCTCAAGGC